CCTGGGGACAGCGAGGGGACAGGGCTGGGGACACCATGGGGACACGGGGACACCATGGGGACAGGGCACCGGGGGGTACCGGTCAGGCTGCACCACGCCTGGGGACAGCGAGGGGACAGGGGGACATGGGGACACGGGGACACCATGGGGACAGGGCACCGGGGGGTACCGGTCAGGCTGGACCACGCCTGGGGACAGCGAGGGGACACGGGGACAGCGTGGGGACACCGTGGGGACATGGAGACACCATGGGGACAGGGCACCATCCCCATCCCTGTCCCTTTCCCCACCTCTGTCCCCTGTCCCTGTCCCTGTCCCCCGTCACTCACTGTTGAAGTCCCCTGTCCCTGTCCCCTCCCTGTCCCCTCCCTGTCCCCATGTCCCCATGTGTCACTCACTGTTGATGTCCCTGTGTCCCCATGTCCCCATGTCCCCATGTCCCCTGTCCCCTCCCTGTCCCCATGTCCCCGTGTGTCACTCACTGTTGATGTCCCTGTCCCCTCCCTGTCCCCATGTCCCCGTGTGTCACTCACTGTTGATGCCCTCGGTGTTGGAGATGGTCCCGCTGCAGATGGCGTCGTAATACTGCTTGTTACTCATCAGGGTGTACATGCCCAGGATGGCTGTGGGGACACCGAGGGGACATTGGGGACATTGAGGGGACACTGGGGACACTGGGGACATTGAGGGGACAGGGGACACAGAGAGCAAGGGGATCCAGGTGTGACATATGGGGCAGATGTATAACACGAGGACAGGTGTGACACTTGGGTGCGTGACACGGTGACAGGTATGACACTCAGGTGTGTGACAGTGCTGCTCGGGTGTGACACTCAGGTGTCACACTCATGTGTGTGCCAGTGCCACTCGAGTGTGACAATGCCAGTGAGCTCCGGCTGTCACAGTGCCAGTGCCACTCAGGTGTGTGATGGTGACAGTGCCAGTGCCACCGGGCTGTGACAGTGATGGTGACGGTGACAGTGACAGTGCCAGTGCCACCGGGCTGTGACAGTGACAGTGACAGTGATAGTGACGGTGATGGTGACAGTGACAGTGACAGTGACAGTGCCGAGGGCAGCGTTACCCTGGGCCGAGGCCGCTCCTGCTGCCGCTGCCGATCCCCGTTCAGCCTGCGCAGAGCCCGACCCCGTTCATGACCACGGCAGCCCCGGGGAGACCCCACTGACCCCAATGATCCCACTGAAACCCCACTGATCCCATTGAAACCCCATTGATCCCATCCCAGCCCCGGGGAGACCCCACTGACCCCACTGATCCCATTGATCCCACTGAAACCCCAATAATCCTATCCCAACCCCGGGGAGACCCCACTGACCCCACGAAAACCCCATTGAAACCCCATTGACCCCATGGAAACCCCATTGATCCCATCCCAACCCCTGGATACCCCACTGACCCCATGGAAACCCCACTGACCCCAGTGACCCCATTGAAACCATCCCAATCCCATGGAAACCCCACTGAAATCCCATCGATCCCATCCCAATCCCATGGAAACCCTATGGAAACCCCATTGATCCCATCCCAACCCCATTGATCCCATTCCCATCCCATCAATCCAATTCCACCCCAATTCCATCCTCATTCCCATCCCAAATGCCATGGAAATCCCATCTCAATCCCATCCCATCCCATTCCCATCCCAATCCTCTGGAAATCCCATTGATCCCACCCCAGGGATCCCATCCCACCCCGATCCTGATCCCATGCCATCCCTGTCCCATCCCTGTCCCCATCTCCATCCCCATCCCTGTCCCCATCCCATCCCTGTCCCTGTCTCCATCCCGTCACTGTCCCCATCCCATCCCATCCCTGTCCCCATCCC